AACCCCTTCCCTGCGCGCAAGTTCCACGGAGCCTAGCAAACTTCGTGTGAGTGTATCCAGAGCTCTTCTCCGAGTTGTTTTCTTCGGTTGACACGACGGGCTCGCGTTTTTAGAGCCTTCAGCCGGATTGGGCTAGAGTTCGCGAGTTTAGAACTCTTGTCCGCTTTTCTTCTTTCCTGTCTGTAACCGCAACTCAAGCAAGTTTTCCTGCCTGCACCGCGACCATCTACAGTGTAAATAAAATAATCTTTAATCAACCGCTACGCGTCCGTGCCTAATTCTAGTCCGCCGGCCTGCATTCCCCAACCCGCATGCCAGGGTTGCTAGCCACAGCCCACCGCGTGCCCCCGAGGGCCTCGGACTGCTCCCGGCCCGCACAATAAGGTGTTCTAGGATGTGTTGAAACTGTTTTACTCGCATGAAATACTCAAATACTCATTGAGAGAGAGTGCAACAGCTTACTGGTAACGATAATCCCCGAGCTGGAACAAGCATCCCATTCCCTAATCCAAAAATATCTCAGAAGTCCATGCAAGGTAATGTGGCTTCTGAAAGCAACTGACCCCTCAGATAATCGATATGACAGTGGTTGCGACTCCTTCCTAGGACGGGTCAGATCTGGGTTCATATTCTCTCAGGCAGCCCTCTGAGCTATATTTAGGTGGAGAGAGGCACCTTCACCACTGCCACCACCAATGCATCACCTTTCTTGTAAGTGGTATATAATTCTAGCCTTTCATTTAATTTGCTTTAGTTAAAAAAGCCTGGAATTGGAAGGAAAAATTCTTAGTTTAAAAAAAGATTTAAAACAAAACTTTATTTCTTTCCCATTTTGGCAAGAAAAAAACAAAACAAAACCTTGAGCTCGTGGCTTTTTAGTCGCGATCAAACCAAAACAAATCCCTTTTTTAAAATGAGGATACTATACTGAAAAAAAAATTGATCATTTGTACATTGTTAATTATAACACCCGTTTTACTGTATATTTTACTTAGGTGTTTCTTTGCAGTCTATGGATTGTAATCGTTTAGTTTGAAAAATGGCACTGGATAAAAAAAATGATGGTTCTCCTCTGGAGAGCTTACAGTCTCCCACATGCAGAAGACAGAACTGTTGGGAAATCCAGGAACAGAAATAACTTACCAGTGTTCCATTTTTAAATTAGGAAGATGCTCTAGCCTCAGAATTATTTTATTCAAATGTCTATGCATGGCTCTATTATTTTTCCTGTATTTTTATAGTATTCAGCAAATGGCCCTACAATATTTATATTATACTTAAAGAAGATAAGCACAGCACCACATAAACTTTACTGGGAATAAATCATACTAACAACGTATAATATGGACAAGAGTCCCAAGGGATTATTAGTAGAAAAAGAAACATCAACCATAAGCCTTCTTATATTCCATTGGTGAATGGCTGCCATTTTTCTAAGTCAGGGGTGTCAAACATAAGACCTGCAGGGTGGATCTGGCCCTTGGAGCCCTATGATCTGGCCCCTGGGTCTTGGACTAATCCAGCAGGCCACATGTAGGGCTGGTATGGTGTATGGGCTGGACCCAGTGCCGTGGACACTACAAATAGCACAGGAGGATGGTTCAGGGTGCGTACTACATGTGCCACCTGCACTGGCCAGTTCAGCCCCAAGCACCACAAGCCAGCCCCACTCCTGCACACTGGCTCAGATGCAGCCCGATCCAAGCCACACACTGGCACAGGTCTGGGTAAATATGACACCTCTGTTCTAAGCCACTTGTAATGGATACCTGAACAGCTAACAAGTCATTTTTCCATAAACAGTTCTCCATATACCATAAGTATCAATTCCATGACAACAAATATTTTACAGTTGCTAGCTAACATAAAAAACCTGGAAAAATTCTAATTACCCCATCATAGCTTCAATGGAGATTCACTGAAGCCACCTTTGTGCTGCAAGTACAACCCCCCCCAGCTGATATAAATACTATACTACAGTACACGCTCAACCAGCCTCAAATGCCCAAGGAAAAATATGGGACTCAGGTGTAACAGGGCAGCTCTGTGCCCTGGGTAGGGACAGCTGCCAGCAACAGTGGTGCAGCCTGTCATCAACTGCAGCAGCAGCTATTTTTGCATCCTCCATCCTGCTAAGGTGGTAACCAGGGCTGCTGCCCTGGTTCCCCACCTCCTTCACACTACTGATATGACTTGTATTGCCACCAGAAAGTAAAGAATATCAGGCTATTTGAAAACACAGTGGGGAGAATGGAACAGAGTTCAGAAACAACATTCATAACTCCATTTATGATTTGCCATCTTTTTGAATGAACAAAGATAAGGAGAAATTGTCCCTAATAACCACAACTAATAATGTGATCTAAGCAGAGCTCTGACCTTCTCTCTCAAGCTCCCCAGGTATAAGGAGACAGAGCTGTGAAATCACGTTATCAAAAATCCAGCATTTTAGAGTATTTTTCGATTTTTTTTAAGAGAGGCAAAGAGATAGGGAAATCAAACAGCTTGTGCCAAAAAAAAGGAAAAAAGGAAAAAGATTGCTTAGCTTAATGATTTGGGGCCTGTTAATGGCTGCAATTTCCCAATATCCTTAATGAGCTGAAAGCCATAGGTGTTATTTGGCAATTAAAGTTATTATTTCCCCATAGAGTCCTTACAGATAGAAAGTACTAAAGATGGCCACTATCTTCCATTGTTACCAGTCAAAACTACTATAATTGATATTTATATTATTCTCTGTTAGAGCCTGGATGGAAAATGCTCTGTTTGCAGAATATAAACTAATATTTCTTTTAAATAACAAGAATTACCAAACTAAATGATAATCTCTTAAACTGGCAAATTGCAGAAATCTTACCTCTTACCAGTAGGTATATCTAATGATACTAACACATTAATATATATTCATATGATACTAACATATATTCACACAGCATTTTAAAAAATCTATTTACATTTTATTAAGGAATCTAGGACAGGTAAAGTACTGGCTTGCTGCCTATTAATCTATCACCTATATTCAAGTCCTATGCAAGTGAATGTATGGAGCAGAAGCACAGTATCAATTGGGAAGTATGAAAACCTCCATTTTCTGTTCAAAGGTAATCAAGCCTACTTATTTTACAGCCAAACATGACTATGAAGCACTACCTTTGTTTAGTTTATATATCTAAAGCAGCATCACAACATATGTACCATTTAGTCTCCTCTGAATTGCTTCTTCCTCTAAGGTGATGATATATATCTCTTCATCCAGGTCTTCAAGGATCTGTGTTTAGAAACAAATACCAACTGATAAACATTCATTTGTGCATCTTGTTTGGCTGAATTTTTGGTTCCACCTCAAAACTTTTTTTCTTAAGAAAGTCCATACATTACTAGTATGCTAAGAACATTGTGCAAAACAGTACTTAAGTGTTACAATATTCATTATAGCTAAAGTTATTCAACTGCATCAAATCATCTTATTTTTACATGATTAACTTTCCCATAAGTTTTTCTTTTGGGTTGAAACTTTTATGTTCAGTCTCAGTCCAAAGATGATCTTGTTGTGAGGGAGTATGAATGAAAAATTCAATCTTAAGAATGCAAATATAAAGTAATTTAAGATATGCAAATATAAAATAATGTTTGCACTAACAATTAAAAATGGCTAATGGACTATAACTTCACAGATGTCTGACTTAATTGTTTTTACAAACTGATTCTTCCTCACTGAACATGAGGTTTAAGTACAGCTGATTTCACACAATACAAAATTTCAAACTACATAATGCATATACTGTTGTGCGACGAAAAAAACTACCTAACTATAGTACACTACTCAGAGAGTTTAAAACTTATTAGCTGTGCAATGCTCCTTTGCTTTCCACATTGCCGCTTAAAGGGTTCTGACAGTCAGTTCAATTCCCCAAAATAATACAAAATAGAATTAAAAACTCTAATGCATATTTACAATTACAAATTTCAAGACATACAATCAGAAATTGTGCAAATTAAGGCTATCATGCCACCACTTTCATGCAGCATTCTGCATGTTAGATACTAGTGTTAATATTAGTAACATGTAATTCACCTACATTATTGCATCAAATTATTCAGTTCAGATGGAGAAAAATGTTAGTCTTCTCTATAAACCTTATTTTCTCCACAAAAAAAGCTTATTATGCCATGAAGTCAAGTTTTATTCACTCATCATTATTTCTATATTAAATATTAACAGTCAGAGGAACCAGAGACAGCAAAGTTATTGTCTGGTTTTCCACAATTCCACAAATCCAGTGACTGCAGAATAATACACGTGGTTCACAAACTGAGGAGATTGTCATTTAAAAGTAAAATGTGGAAAATTGTATCATTATTCATTCCTAATAGGACGAATTCAGGCCTTGATCATACTTGATTCATACATATGGTCAATGAGACACATGAATGAATAGTCACTTTTTGTGAACAATTCATTCATATAAATAATCAGGAACATGCATTGATTTTTGCTAGACTGGGCCAAAAAACACTCGTTTTGAAATAGTTTTGTAATACAGTAGCTCAAACAATTTCCAGAAAGAAATGTATCTAGACAGCTATTTATTATATTTTTTACTGTCAAGAGATTGTCAAGAGACCAGAAATATATAGTACTTACTGTTGGCTTCACCAGCAACTGGCCCATCACTGTAAACATCCGTGAAAGCCCCACTGGTGTGCATACTGGGGAATAAAAAGTATAGAAGATATGGTGAAGCTATATTCAGATCCTGAACATACTATTTTAGATGCATATGACCCTTGAAAGTAGATATAATTGATCAGAACTCTGGAGTAACAGAAAAATTAACTAAGCTCCTTTTTAAAATCTAATGTCATTAAATAGTACTTTACAATAAACATTAAAAATCTCACTCTTTGCATATCATACAGTTAAAGAGGTTGTGGAGTTAAACATTCCTGCACCCTCATCCTCCTCCAATTGCAACACTGCCAAAATTATTGGTTGTACACTTATAAGCTGGAGGGCGGCTGAAGCTTAAGACAGTTTTTGTAGGAAGGGCCTCTCCCCCCTCCTGATAAATGGCAAAAGAACTTAGCCCAAATTTCATCTTGTTTGGACTATCACTAGGATCTAAAATGAGAGGGTAAAACAGGCTCCAGAGACACCTGCATGAATGGAAAATGACGGGATACATGTAGTTACATGGTTGGACATCAAGACCAGCCAGCAGCCAAACCCAGTCATCAGCAAAGATCCTGGATTTCTCTGTCAAAAAAGTCCAAAATTCTCCGATCAAAAACCCCAAAATCCATGTTTTTCCATGAGTAAAAGGAAACACGTGCATGTGTGTGCACGTGTGCCAGCTGAACAAAGTTTTATTGATATATTTACAATATTAAAGCAATTTGGAAACCTACCAGTGCTTCAATCATTACAATACAATAAATTCTAGATACCTATACATTTTGACATTTGATTTTGGTTTATCATGGAAAAATCAGAGCTCCCCCTGCCCCCTTCACTCCCCAGGATGCGAGTCTAGCTGTAGCTGTCCCCGCTGCCGCTGCCACTTTGTGGAGCTGAGCAGCCCTAATATGCTGATGTTCTGCTCCTGCCCAACCTGTTGACCCTCACTCCCAACCCACAGCCCCCCCACCTCCTCCAGCACTGCTGCTGCCCTTCACTCCTGACCCATAATCCCCCCCCTCCCCCCAGCCCTGCTGCGGCCCCTCACTCCCAACACATGTCTCCCACCCCCAGGCCCCAGCCCCCCCAGTGTGTGGGGAAGGGGGTGGGTGTGTGGGGAAGGTGGGGTGTGGGCATAGGTAACGCCATAGGTGACACATCAGGGGAGCATGGAGGGGGTCAGGGAGCGGCATGTCCCTCCTGAGTTCTGCGCCCCCAGCCGAGCGCAGGGCTGCAGCCTGACTGGACCAGCACCAGGCAGGAGCTGCCTCCACAGCCCATCAAGCAGAACCCAGCACAGGAAGGAGCACCATGCTGCCATTGCAGCCAAGGTGAGGCGCCTCCTGCCTGCCTGGCAGCAGCAGGGTGACAACTCACGCCACTATGGTCGCCAAGGTGAGGCGCCATGGCAGCGCAGATTTGTGCCCGACCTTCTCACTGTTGCCAGGTGGGCAGAGTGCCTCACCTTGGTGGCCATGTTGGTCAGATCCCACCTGCCGGGCCACAGAAGCGGCTCCTGCCTAGTAATGATCCAGCCAAGCTGCATCCCCATGCCCTACTGTGGACACAAGTCTGTGGGGGTACATGCCCCCCCATATCCCTGTGACATGTTGCCAAGGCTCTACCCCCCCACCTGTGAC